AAAAATATGTATAGTACGTTGGAGTTTTAAAAAGCGTATTAATACGTGTACGAAAAACAAAACTTGTTAAAATACGTATGTACATATATAATAAGGATATTATACGCAAATTTAGTAACAACGAAGTTAAGTGACAATGCTAAATATTTTGAAAATTGTTATTGACACTTTAGAAAAAATCATTATGTTCTTTTCTAATAAAATATATTGTAAGAAATGTTAGCAATTTTCATATTAAATTTAATGTTTTGTTTTATACAAGCAATTTTATGGAATGGGAAATCAATCTCAGGCCTTCAACCACAACAGAAAAATGCTCCTATCTTGAATGTTCCTTTCACTCCAAACCCTTTGCACAAAACCTTAATGTTAAGCTCTCACCATCATGCAACTTTCTGCTTTCCCCTTTTACAAGTGAACATCTTTTTTATGTTTTCACTTATGAATACGGCAAAATAACATTTTTAGAGCACCGAGAACAACAAATTCCGAGATTAAAGAAAAATGTAAGTAGCAATGTTATTACTATCTACCATCTCTCTCACATTCCTAACACCATTTGCAAATTCTATCAAAGCTGCTAGCAGTTTGTAACTACTTTTTGCAGAGTTAGCCATTCAACAAAGAATACACTAGAAAAAAAAATCCAACAAAAACCGCTAATCATTAAAATTCTAAAAAGCACCGCACAAATTAAAATTCAAAAGTTTCAAGTCATATAAGTAAAACACACCACAAACATAAACGAGACAAAATACAAAGCGATAGCATGAGAAAGAAAGCAAAAGCAGAAAGAAAATTTTGGTGAGTAGAGAGTGGAAAATATTATTGATGAGTCATCATGTCCTTTCTCCGTTGAGTAGCATGCTTTGTCCTTCATAAGTCTTCTTAAACTTTGAGGTACGAGTCCCTAATTCCACTCATTTTTCTGACAACTGCGTCCATCAGCATCCGTTCCCTTGGTGACATGGCACAGCAAGAGAGTCCTATTTGCATCACTAAAACCAAGCATTCCTTTAATTTCTTTGCTTTCACCGGGCCACGATTGTTACGTCTCGATGGAGTTTGTTCTCGCTCTATGTCATCGTTGACATCACAGTCTGCTTCGAGGTCGAGGATAATTGAATGGTCAACTATGTCCATGACATGGTCAGGCAAAGCCATGGCTACAAATTGGTAAATGCTTAAACCACCTTTGAACATGTCATCAGTAGGTCTTTTCTTGTGAACATTTCCAGCAATAGTATCCCATAGCTGTAAACATCTCCAAGTATAGAAACTTGGCCTCCTGTACCATACTCTGCCAGGACATACATACAATATGTCATATGCAATTGACAATTAGAACAATATCTTCTTTAGATTAATATGTTACTTATTTTCCAAGAATAAAAAAGGCAGTAATGTATTTTTCATAAATAGATATTAATTAGTTGGTTTTTAGTAATAATTTACTAAGAACATAAAAAGGAAGTTAGAATGATAGAAACTCATATATACCTGGAGGAATGTAGCCTATAGAACCCTTTAACTGAGATGACATTGTTTGACTGAATGAGGGACCATTTGATGTTTCAAAGAGGAACCTTGCTAAACCAAAATCCCCAACATGGGCTACTATATCTTCATCAAGAAGCACGTTGCTCGGCTTTAGATCACAATGAACAATGGCCGTTTCACAATGGTGGTGGAGATAATCTAAAGCAGAAGCAACATCAATGGCAATGTTCAATCTTTGCATAAAACTCAATCTCTTGCTTAGAGTTTGCTCCTCTTCCCTTGGATACAACATTGAGTCAAGACTTCCATTTGCCATGAACTCGAAAACTAGACTTTTGAAGTCTTTACCTTGATTATCAATGCTCGAGCATGTAGTTATGATCTTGAGAAGATTACGGTGCCTTGTATTCCTTAAAGTTTTGCATTCATCTATAAAACTCTTGGAAGCTCCTTGTTGTTGAAGGTTTAATACCTTAATAGCAACTACCGTTCCATCACTAGGAATTATCCCTTTATAAACAGAACCAAAACTTCCCAAACCAATCAGATTATCCACAGAGAACCCATTAGTTGATTCAATGAGTTGTGAGTAGGAGACACCTGATTTCCAATCCTTATAAGAACGTGAAGTTGCAAACTTATCTCTTGACTTTTTCAGTATTGAACAAGCACCAAAGGAGCATGATAGAGCAATTATGATTGCAAATACACAAGCTATAGGGATGACAACTTTTGGGGAATGTAGTCCTCGAGATGAATGGTGTTTTTTTGAGGGGCATGGTGGTAGATGTAATTGTGGGATGCCACCACAGAGCCTATGATTTCCAAGAATAGAGACACCACTAATATTTGCAAAAATCCCTTCTTTAGGCAACTCGCCCTCAAAATCATTGTACGAAAGATTGAGATACTTGAGAGCACCAAGCTTGCCTATGAATTCAGGAATCTGACCAGATAAGTTGTTGCTTGAAATATCAAGTTCTTCCAAGCCTTTTAAAAATTGAAGAGATTGAGGAATTATTCCTTCAAACTTATTACCTTGCAAATACAAGCGCTCCAAACTAGCACAACTGCCGAGGGTGCTTGGGATTTCACCTGATAAATTGTTTCTTAAGAGATTTAGCTCCGTGAGATGCACTAAATCACCCACCTCAAAGGGCAGTAGACCAGTCAAATAATTGTCAGACAGGTCTAAAGAAATTGAAAGGGTTGAAAGCTCCATAAGCGTTTTAGGTATGGTGCCCGTAAGGTTGTTACTTGAAAGTTTAAGATCTAATAAGTTTTGGTAGTTTCCAAGACTTGGAGGTATACTGCCATCAAACCTGTTGACCTCCATGTAGAGGTTTAACAATAACGTCATGTTACCAAGTGAGGACGGGATTGACCCAGAAAATTCGTTACCATCCATATACAACTGCTCTAACTTCTCTAGCTTCCCAATTTCAGGCGGGACATTACCACCCAAATGGTTACCTTCTATTGCTAGAACGGTCAAATTTAGAAGATTTCCAATGCCGTTAGGGAGGCTTCCATGTATCACATTGGCCCCAAGAGTAAGAACTTTTAGTTGGGTCGAAAGGTTGGCTATGGATCTTGGGATCTCTCCTCCAAAATGATTATCGCGAAGACCCAAAAACACCAAACTAGTGCAATTAGCCAAGAAATTGAGAAAATTCAAGTCACCAACTTTTCTCTTTCCCAGTTGATTGCTTTCAAAGTTTAGCGAAACTAAGCTTCGCAAGCTTCCTAGACTTTCACTAGGGACTGTCCCAGAGAAGCCATTTTCAGCAAGCCCAAGACTCTGAAGTCTAGAAGCATTTGACAATGATATAGGAATATTTCCTCTTATTTTGTTCCCACTAAAGTGAAGCTGTATGAGATTAGGAAGCATAGTGCCGAGATTTGGTGGTAGCTCTCCATGTAAGTGGTTGATAACGACATTGAACATTTGTATGGAGGAAATATTATATATTGAAGAAGGGACTATACCAGACAAATTATTCTCCCCAATTGAGAATTGAACCAAGCCTGTTATATGCCCAAGCTCATTTGGTATGCTTCCTTGCAAATTGTTTCTCACAAGATCCAGAGTCCTCAAAGAAGAAAAGTTTCCTATCCAAGGTGGGATGGATCCAGTGAGATTGTTATCATACAGCCATATATCTTCTAAATTCAACAATGAACTGAGTTGGTTCGGAATTGACCCCTTAATATGATTGATTTCCAAATTAAGGAATTTTAGTTGTATGCATTGCGACAAATTAGTTGGAATTTTCCCACCAAAGGAATTATGAGAGAGGTTGAGATATTGTAGGCTTTGTAGACGACCCATTTCTGGAGGAATTTCCCCATGAAAGTTGTTGTATCTCAAATTGATTCCAGTGAGATAAGTAAGATTTCCAACTGAAGGTGAAATGGAGCCTACCAACTTTTTTGATTGCAGGTTCAACATCAAGACTCTTTTGGTGGAACGGTGGCATGAAACTCCAACCCAATTGCAGAAATGGATGGAATGATTCCACGAGCTCATGACATCAAAAGGATCTGTGGTTATTCTTTTCTTGAAGTCTAGCAGAGCCAAGCGATCAGATTCATTTTCAAGCAGAGTAAGGTTGCGAAGTGCTGCAGATTCGAGGCATGTGCTCATGCATAAAAGAATGAACCCATGCAGGAATTTGAACAAAACCAGCGTACGATTGGTACATGAATGCCCCATCATTGCTCTAAGACGGAGAGCAAATCAGGTTAGAAGTGTAATTTGCACAAATGCATAAAAGAGAAGAAATGCTATCACATATCACATAGAAGAAACACTTGGATCAATATGTTTAAAAAAAAAATTAGATGGCAACCGTAAGAACTAAGAATAATATATACCTCATTCTACTGTACATCTTACAAGGAATGGAGGAGATTTTTCAAATGAGAGGGGAACTTTGTCCATTCTTAATTAATCTTTTGGCTGCACAAGAGTCTGATTGATGCGATTGCTCACAAGTAACATTTAGAAGGAAAAGCTTAAAGGAAATTTGGATTATTAACCAGAGAGCTTTTGACACTTTAAGTCTCACTTGCATTGGCTTCTACTTTTACCCAAGTCATGAACGTCTGCTTAATTTATACTGCTTCATAAAAATAAAAATAAAAATAAAAATAAATCTTGGAAGAGAAATGTGTTTGAATCTAAAAATGATACTTCTCAATGTTGAGAGTATGAATCTGACATTGAGAAAAGAAGGGATAAGTTGGGCTACTCCCTATATTACCAATTGGAATTATTTCGATTCATGACGTCTATTTCGCAATTACTGTTGTATGATTTTGAGCAGTGGTAAAGCCAGGAATTGTCGCGGGGGGGGGGGAGGGGCGAAATTTTTTTTTTTTTTGACAAACGATATTATCTACATGGGAGGGGGAGTGGGCTAAGCCTCACAATGAGCTAGCAATAATGTGGTTTAAATTTGCCCTTGGCAAGAATTGAACATAAGTCATTTTACTTACAAGTGAAAAGGAATACACTAGACCGTAGCACTAAGTGATGGGTTGGGGCGAACTTAAAAGAGTACAAGGTTAAAAAAGATTAGTCAATATTTCATCCAACTCAGTGACCTCACTTTGTTGGAACTACCCAGAATAGTTGAAGAGGACTACCCAGAATATTTGAAGAGGACTACTTGAAATATTTGAAGGAGAATTTAAGCATTGTTTCTTATAATATCCTTCCATTATGTAACCGTATAATGCGGAAAAAATAAAGTCTTAGATTCTTAAACAATACCAATAATCATATAAATTATTCATTAAACAAAATTCAATTCAATTAATCAATAATCAAGAATTCAACTTTAAATAACAATTTTATTCATCAATAATTATAAAATTTCATATCAATAATCAATAATCAATAACCCTATTGATTAATTACTCTATGATTCTATATCTATTAAACAAAATTTCATATTAAATAAGCAATTAGGGTTAATGTTAGTATAAATTTGGAAATTAAAAACTTTATCTAAAAAATTAAGAGAAAGGGGCCAATAATGGCGGCTGGAGGCTGGCTGCTTGCGGCTTGGAATGGCTTGAAGGCTTGAACTTTGAAGCTTTTAAGTCTGGAAGCAAGGGAAGGAGGGGGCGAACGGGATCTGTTACGCTACTCTCTGATTAATTTATTTTTTAATTCTATACCTAAACGATGTCATTGCACTAAAGGAATTTTTAACCAGGACCTAACGGTGTCGTTTGGCCTGGCTTTTAGAAAAGAAAAAAAAAACAAACATAGCAGAGCTGCGCACCAGCTACAAACCTAGATGAACATAGATGGAACCACCACCGCACCAACAAGCACTTCCGACAGGACCAGAGCGGCGAAATCACCGCTCCTAGACTTGATTTCAGGTGAGGGGAGGGGCGGCCACACCTCCTTGCCCCTACGTAGCTTCGCCACTGATTTTGAGTATGAGATTAAAAAGATTATACACGATTCAATGGATATAGAAAAGTCTTATTAAAGAGGAATGATGGTCCTTGTATTAGAATTATATTATGGCATTGGAATTGATTTCCCGGTAGACGAGGAAACATATTCAGTTTCTTGTATGGATTTTAATAGGGAACCCTCATTAGTTTTGGTTAGGATTATGTATATAGTGGTCTCTGCTCTCACAAATATTAGTCTCATTGTTGAACTTAAACTTATTGTGAGGCCAGTATATTATTTTCTGCAAGAGAGGAGAAGGTTCAGTGAGTTTTGTTGGGAGTTTTTAATTATGGCATCTTCTGGAGCTTCTACAGGTTAGTCTCTTGCCATTCTAGTTATATAAATATTAGATTTACATATATGGTGTTACAACTGCATGAATATCCATTGAATAGTGTTACCTTTTCAAATTTTCCAACCAATATTTGCTAGGTGTCACATCCCGGCCCAGGTCCTCACCACATCCGGACTCGACTCCACTGTAGCACGATATTGTCCGCTTTGGGTCCCGACCACGCCCTCACAGTTTTGTTTCTGGGAACTCACACGAGAACTTCCCAGTGGGTCACCCATCATGGAAGTGCTCTCGTGTGCTACTCGCTTAACTTCCGAGTTCCGATGAACTCCGAAGCCAGTGAGCTCTCAAAATGCTTTGTGATAGGTAGAGATGAGAATATACATATACGGTTTAGAGGATCCACTCCATTGGATGACGTGGGATGTTACACTAGGGGCATTTAGAATTGGGTCCAAAAAATCAACATGGCTATATAGGTTAAGTCCAGTATTATTTTTTTCTGCTTTTATTTCTTTTATACTCATTTTACATTTAAAAAAAATATTAGAGATAAATTGGAATCTTCTAATTCCAACAATCTACTTAATATCTTATAACCTAAATTCATCTACACAACGTACGCCCCTAATTCAAGTAACAAATACATGAATGTATATATTATACCCATAAGCGAGATATGAAACCTAACTAAAATGTACAACAACATAATACACCTACAAACAAGAAACATTAATTTCTTATATAAGTTGATTACAAAAAAGAAATATCATATAGGTAGATAAATGCAATTAACCTGTGATATGGGTTGATTATAAAAATTAAAAATAAAATCTATAAATGGGGTTTAGAACAGGAAGAACAATAAGAACAAGACATAACAAAAAGAAAAAGAAACAAGAAGAAATAACTAAAGAGATAATTAGAAAGTAATTTAATTTTTATAGTAAATTTCATCAATAAAAAGATAATGTTATTGCCAATAAAATAATGGGGTTTTTTTAACTTTAATCCTTCAAGAAGATTAAAATTTAATAAAAACCTGATGTTAGGTTGGATATTGATTTTAGTCCCTTAATGTGTACTTAATTCAAATTTATATTATATTTTTGTTTAAATATTTAATAAATATCTTATTTAATGTCATTACATTAAAATTAAAATTTATTATTATACACATTTTAATTCATTAATTTTATTTAACTTCTTCTAATTAGTGTACCTAAACGTTCTTATCATAATATATTTTACTAATTTAGTGTACCAGAATGCCCGTATCTAAATATATTGTAGTAAATTAGTAGCACATAAGAAAATATGCAAAAATATAAGTGCACCGAAAATTCCGTACCTAATTATATGATACTAAGCTAGTGTATCGAAATGTCGATACCTAAATATATTATACTAAACTAGTATACCTAAATGTTCGTACCTAAACATATTATACTAACCCGGCCAGTGTACCGAAATGTTTGTACCTAAATATATTGTAATGAATTAGTGGCACATAAGAAAATATGCAAAAACATAAGTGTATCGAAAAATTTCTACGAAAAATATTTTCTTATATAAGATACTGACCATAATGAGAATTAAAATTTATAATATTTTCATAAAATTTAATTTATGAACAACATAAAATTATAAATAAAAAAGAGAGACACTGAATACATATGTTGACATTTAATAGAGTCTAGGGACTAAAATCAATTTTTAATCTTGTATAAGACATTTTTCAAAACTTCATCTTATTTGGGGATTAAAATCTAGTTTTCTATAAAATAATCCCACACTGGAATTTGACTTATTTTAATAAATTGAACTATTCCTACTACTGGCTTAAAAAATTGGACTTATATCAAGTTTCCCTATTTGGTAATATCCATTTGATTTGGGGACTTCATTTTCTAACAAAGAATCATATTTTTTCTAATTACTTACAAAAAAATTCATAAGATTCATATAAAGTTGAAACTTAATATTTGAGAAAGAGAGAGGCAGATTAGTGATTACGTGCTGAATGGCATCATGAAATCGTTCAAAGAATATCAAGAAAGAGCACTCAACTTGTGTTCAGAAGTTCTTCCAAATCATACATACAAAAGAAAAATATCAAACAAACAAGACAAGCAGTGGTCACCTTTTTGTTTTCGTAACCTTTGGCCGCTACAATGACGTTTTGGTGCCTACTCCGTGACTAATCGCTTTAGTCACCGTGCAGTTACGAATAAGGGGATGCTGATATAACCTCCTTGTCACGATTAATTACATACAGAAAAAAGAATGAGAAATTTTGAGGGGCAAAAGTTAGAAATGGAGGGTGTGTATGGACTGTGGACTGTTAACTGGAAAGGGAAAGTAAAAGAATACGCAAAGAGAGAGAGAGAGAGAGATGGGGTTTAAATATGAGGGCAGAGTAAGGTGAGGAAGCACAAGCAAAAGTGGTAATCAATGCTTAGTAGTGGAGAGAAAAATTTCATTGTTGGGGCAAATGCACTCACATTTTCTCTTAATTCTAGTGGCATAAATAATAATGGTTATGCATTCTAGTGCATGTGCGATCTTCACTGATCCCCCTTCCTCCTAACATTTAACAATTTTATTCACTATAATTAAGTAAGCATGGTGAATAAATTAGTTGCGAAATCGTTACTCACGAAATTCAAACCTAGCATCTATGGTAAGAGAAATATTACTAAATAGTATTACTTAGTGACAAAATTCTTTTCCTTTAATATACATTTAGTTTTATGAGTTAACCAACCCAATGTAAGTCTAGCCACTAAACGAGCTATATTCAAAGAGGGGTGGCCGAGGACTTGGAATAAAGCAATCATTAACCCGGAAATTTTCATGAAAAGTAGTGGAAGTGGATGCATAATAAAATTAGTCACTTATTCTTACCAAAGTCCCATTAATTATGAATTTATGTTCATGTTTTCTCTGTAAGTGTGGTTTGGTTTGTAACACTTGCCGCAGGGGCAAGTGGAAAAACATAGCGAAGTGGAAGAAAGCGGAGACCCCAAAAGGCCATTACCTTAGTGCTCCTGGGTGCCTTTCCCATCCTAATATCTACGATTATATATAATACTTGATTTGGGACTAACATGTGCATTATTTCAAACTAATAATGCTATGTCATGTAAATTTTGGCTCAAATAAAAGTATATGCTTTGATAAAAAATAAACATATATATATGCAAAAATTTAAATGCTTCTGATTGGTCGTTCAAACATGAAATAAATATAGACTTGAGAAAATGGGAATCATTGAATTAGTAATTACTAAATAAAAAAAATATTCTTTTTTAAGGAAAATTTGAAAGAGAAACGGAAAACAAGTTTAAGATTTTTAGCGAGAATTGAACCTAAAACATCTCATTTATAAGTAAAAATGAATATCACTAGTAACCACATTCATTCTTCATTTTCATGGACTTGAGAAAATATATGTAAAAACCGATATCTAAAACCTTACTAAAGTCACATTGTGAAAACCGGAATTGGGAGATTTCTTTTTGGGTTGACTGGTTGATGTGTTGACTTTGAAGTCTTTGCCCTACTTATCGAGAAATTGTTGTGTCCTCACTCCTCACTGGAATTTTAGGAGTCAGCAATGAGATCGGGATCTCCTCCTTCTAATCAATGGGGTTCAGAGGCTAGAGCGATAATTAGTTGAGAGAAAATGACATTGTTTGGTACTAGTGCACCACTTTTTCTCCTCTACTATTTCTAGTCTCTTCAAAATGATAAATTATTCCCAACAAGAGTTTTATAAACATGTAATGTGTAGAAAATGGCACATAATTAAAGGTTACAGATTTCCACCAACTGTCCATTAAATTTGTGTTTACGTTTCAAGGTAGGTTTTTTTGGTAACTAGCCATATTTATACCACGGAATGATTTTTCACCTACTTTTTGCAATTCTTACAAATTTAACCAAAAATTCATACAAAAGTTTTAAATTGCCCCTCCCTTCTCACTTGTCTCTTCCCTCTGTCTTTGATTCCCACCAGCCCAACCAGTGGCCTACATAGTGGCCAGCACAGGCATGGGCCTTTCCTGGAATTTCACTGTTTTATATAACTATCTGCAAGTTTTTACAACAATGAGAATATGGCTCATTGGTTAATGGGAGTTTTGCAGTTCCATTTGGCCCTGGTTTGAGACTTGTTGTCCTTATAATTTGCCTTATTTCTCAACCATACAAAAACCAAGCCCACTTTTTTTTTTTGTTATAATTAGCTTTATGTTTTACCATATAAAAAGAATACCCTCTTTTTTCGCTCGTTGATATAAAACGAGGCCTATACAGTCTCGAGCAATCTAATTTTAAGTTTTGACATAAAATGTTTTGTTGGAATCTAATATATTAATCTTTTATTTATCAAAGCTCACAAACAAGTTTTTTTTTCTTATGATATATTTCAATACTAAAAATTAAAGCTCTGCCACTCTTGTTTGACTAAAATTTTTCATGCCAATATAAAAAACAAAACCTTTACTTTTATCCCATTAATTAAAATTGCAATTATTTTGTCTAATTTCTTTTGTATGACTTAAAGCTAGACCTGTAAACGGGTCGGGCTTATTGGGTTTCGGTCAAACTCGACCCGTTTCACCCATTTTACCCGTTAACACCCATTAACAATTATTATTATTATTATTTTTGCATAGAGTTTATTTTTTGTTGTTAAGACTTTACTGAAATTACTAAAACATCCTTAATGAACGGGTGCTAACGAGTTGACCCAAAGTGACCCGACCTGTTAAGCGTCCACCCAAATACTAATATTAATGGGTCGGGTCAGGTCGGGTTAACGGGTTGGGTCCAAAATGCCAAGTCTACTTAAAGCCCCTATATTTTGGATTCTAGCTTTGACATTGAGTCCAACATAGCCCTACCCCACTGTTGACCCTAAAAACTACCAAACCTATGTGGCACGTAGGCCGGGTAATTAATGAGCTAACTACGTCTTTCGGTTGTGTGAGGGGCGTGCCAACTCGACGGCTGAGCTCGGCCGGTGAGTAAAATTTGTTGCATTGGGTGCGCTACTGACTTCTTGACCCGAGGAAGGAATTTGTCTCGGCCTTCGGGTTCTAGAGCCTGAAGACAAGGCTGCTAGTTCTACGAAGTTCACAAATCGTTGGCGCCGGATTCGGTCATAGTGATTATATTCGTAAAAATATAAGCACGCTGAATTGACACTAAACTATACGGGCACAGATACTCAAAGCAGATGTGCGTTTTAATCGTAAATGTAGTTCGGCCTTCGGAATGCCGAACTCTAAATCCCACTTGTGAATATCCAATCATAAAACAACTCGGCGTTCAATGTGCCGAGCCTATGAATCTGTAACACCTCACTTCGTCGAGAAGGCTAATGAGACGACCTCTACCGATAAGGATTCGAAAATCCTTCTTGACCGAGACTTGGATAGGTAACCAGTTGACCTCGACGCGGTGCTGTTTATCCAAACTGAAGGTGCATCTTGGTCGGCTGATTCCACGGCAACAGTGTTGTTTATCCAAACTGAAGGTGTTCGCTGGTTGCCTTCACAATGCTGTTTATCCAAATTGAAGGTGTGTTGAAGGGAAAAGAAAACAAAAATCTCAAGGTTGTTGAGAGGTTTCGCGTAGAGCGAGAGTTTGCGCAGAGCAATTTGTGTGTGGAATTGGAGGGGGTTTAGAATGATACACCCTCTTCTTATTTATAGCAGCCAATTTCATCCTGGCCGCACCATAACTATACTCGGACTGGGATTCTTAATCCTAATCTATCTAAGCCTCGACCAGTCCTACCTCTACTAGGATTCTGAACCAAACATTTTATCCGGCCACATTCTCTTCTCAAATCTTAGCATCCTCATCCTATTATGACTCCTTATTATACTAGGATTCGTCCTACCTCATCAATCTGTCTTAACCTAGGGTTCGACTGATCTTAACCAAGCGGCCCATAATAACTGGAATTCGCGATAGTTCTAGAATTATACTACCGGGCCGAGAACAACTTTTTACTCGGCGCACACCAATATTTTGGGCCCAAACATTGCCCCCTTACTTCTGAGGTCTTCGGCCTAAAACCTCTTAGCCGAATTTCAACCTTAAAGAAGTGAAATCAAACCCTGAAAGTATCTTTAGAGGATGATGAAAAGTCTCAAATATTCCACTTACCAGGTGTGCATTTATGGAGCACGATTACACAATCTTAACTTTGTCAGACACTCCGCCACGTGGCATCCTCTGGGCACGCCCCCTTACTTGACACTGAAACGTCCTTTCAATCCTCAAAACCCTTTCACACGCTATCATTATAACCTCGAACCACGACGCTATCATTATAACCTCGAACTACGAATTTTTTGGTCTGTTTGAGTCGTGCACATAACCAAACGTCTCCTTATCATTGAATCTGCCGTCTTATGCCATCGTGCAGCCTCGATCTGCGCGTTTTCCCCGGTCTTTTCACTTGGACTCCTTGAATTCCCATTATGATTACTAAATCCCTTAGTCGATTCTATCCTCTAATTTAACATTTAAACCGTTGATCTTCCCTCTCAAAACACCTATAAATACTCCCACTTCTTCTTTTAAACCTTTTACACTTTTAGAAAAAACCAGAAACTGTTTTTCCGTTGTCCCTCAGATCTCTTCACCATTTTCTCTAGAAAACCAATTCTTTAGTATTCAGAAAACCTTCATCTTCAATGGCTACCAATACTTTCATCCACAGGTTGACCGATGAGTGCAACAAATGCCAAAATATCATTGATCGAAACACAATCAAAACCATCCGGTTCAAAGATGAGCCAAACGTCTCCCACCAAACCCTAGGCCCACTATTTAAATACCAGGTTCCTGAAGCAATCATCGAGATGCTTAGGGAGCATGCCTAAAACCCTTATTCCAAGGGTATGACTGGTCAAAATGGGAATCGGCCAGACCCCGGGTGTCTGGCCCTCGACCATTGCTGCCTGGGTTGCTCGGATGGAATCATATTTCAGTGATGAGTGGAAAGCTCTCGGCATCTTCGATGCCATCAAACTCTTGACCATCGAGATGAACCTAGATCGAGAGCTTGTGATGGTGGCATTAAGCTTCTAATGCTCAACCAACAACATGATGGTTCTTCTTATCGGCCCAACGGTCCTAGATATGACCGCTTTACTTGGTACTTCTCCAACTGGTATCTCGATTAATACTTCTCTCGCTAGGTACCAATTCGATACGGACCTGAAAATGGTCTTCGAGGAATGCGCCGTCAAGTCCCTGACGAAGGGAGATCACAGGCCGTCTAAAGAAGAGGTGCAAAAATTGTATAAGAACTTTTTCAATTACAGCACCCTGATCACTCACTTCGCCGGCTCCGAAGGCGAAAAACTTGAAAAGGGAGAACATAGGGCGTTCTTATTCTACTGATACAACAAGTACTTCTTTTGTGCCAAGTCGAATAAGTGCTTGGCCGAAAACATGCTCGTCGTCGATGCCTTGGCCAGCGGC